AAAAAAAAAAAAAAGCCCAGACATGGTGGCTCACATCTGTAATCCCAGCACTTTGGGAGGCCGAGGCAGCAAATCACCTGAGGTCAGGAGTTCAAGACCAGTCTGGCCAACAGGGCAAAACCATATCTCTACTAAAAATACAAAAATTAACCAGGTGCGATGGCACATGCCTGTAATCCCAGCAGGAGGCTAAGGCAAAAAAAATCGCTTGAACCTGGGAGGCAGAGGTTGCAGTGAGCCAAGATTGTGGCAGTGAACTCCAACCTGGGCAACAGAGCAACACTCTGTCTCAAAAAAAAAAAAAAAAAAAGTTCCTGTTCTTAAAAAACACAAAACGGAACTCCCTTAGGAAAAGCTAGTAACCCGAGGGCATAAAAAGTACTGCAAAACCGCTTAAGTATGCTCCTTAGGGAGACACTGAGCAAGGCGGTGAACACATGTCTCTGGGCCAGTGGGACTGAAGGAAGTATCTTTCCTTCTTAATGAACCTGTCTCCTGTCTGGTTTCAGACTAGAGAAACAGGCTCTTTTGAAAGACAGAACCATTAACTACCCATCAACAGCAGACTGTTTATATAATGGAAAACTCTGAAACCTCTATGCAAAGATAAAAAAGTGTGAGAAAAAATGTGATGTAATAGAACATTTAATATGATCCTTTGCTCCTTTGGTGTAAAAAAAAGTATAGCTGGGCCGGGTGTGGTGGCTTACATCTGTAACCCCAGCACTTTCGGAGGCTGAGGCAGGCAGATCACCAGAAGTCAGGAGTTTGAGACCAGCCTGGCTAACATGGTAAAACCCCATCTCTGCTAAAAATAGTAAAACACCCCAGTTGATTTTGTTTATGGCTGCAACATGACTGTAACTTTTTCTTGTCTAGAGGTTGTTTGAAACTTTCCAAAGTGAAACAAAACTTGTTCATTTGCTAAATTATGCTTTTGTGACTTCGTTAAATGTTAACAATGTAAGGCCCAGCACAGTGGTTCATGCCTGTAATCCTAGCTCTTTGGGAGGCCGAGGTGGGTAGATCACTTGAGGTCAGGAGTTCGAGACTATCCTGGCCAATATGGTGAAACCCCATCTTTACTAAAATTACAAAAATCAGCTGGGCATGATGGCATGCACCTGTAATCCCAGCTACTCGGGAGGCTGAGGCAGGAGAATTGCTTGAACCCAGGAGGTGGAGGTTGCAGTGAGCAGAGATCGCTCCACTGTACACCAGACTGGGTGACAGAGCAAGACTCAGTCTCAAAAAAGAGAATTCCTTATTCACAGTAAATTCCCAAAGTGGGTTATTCTCAAGCACATATGCATAAACTCCAAGATTTGTGTCCTGCTCCTTTGCAGGTGACCTTCCTTCCAATAGCACTCAAAGTCCTTAATCCAGGATCCTTCCGGGTGATAACCCCCATAGCAAGGCATCTTCAGATTCACACCTACAAGTGGGGAGTTATCTACCTTATGTTGTGATTGTTTTGAGATATGGTCTCACTGTGTCACCCCAGATGGACTACAGTGGTGCCATCACAGCTCACTCAATCCTCCTGCCTCAGCCCCCAGGAGTAACTGAAACTATAGGCAGAGGGCCTGTGACCATGCCCTTATCACTTTTGTACTTTTTATTGACAGGTTTTGCCATGTTGCCCAGGCTGGTCTCAAGACTACTGGCCTTAAGTGATCTGCCCGCCTTTGCTTCCCGAAGTGCTGGGATTACAGGCATGGGCCACCACATCCAGCTATACATATCCTTTAACCCAGCAATTCCACTGGTAGGAATTTACCTATTGATCATCATCAGGGAAGTTGGCCAAGATATTTGTGTAAAGACACATGTAACTCTTTGGGACCAGGTTGAATAAATCATGACACATCCACACAATGATACAGCAAGGGTAAAGACAAGTCACTCTGAAATGATACAGAACACAAAGGGTTTTGTTTTTGAGACAGGGTCTCACCCTGTTGCCCAGGCTGTAGTGCAGTGACCCAATCACAGCTCACTGCGGCCTTACCCTCCCAGGCTGGGGTGATCCACCCCCGCCTGCTGGGTAGTTGGGATTATATGCACATGCCACCATGCCCAGCTAATTTTATATTTTTAGTACAGATGGGGTGTTACCATGACCAGGCTGGAAACCATTTTTCCTGAGACAAGGTCTCTCTTGTCACCCAGGTTGGAGTGTAGGGGTGTTATCACTGCAGTATTAACCTCCCAGGCTCAACTGACCCACCTGCCTCAGCATCCTGAGTAGCTTGGACTACAGGTGTGTGTCACCAAACACATCTCAACATTTTGTAGTGGTAAGGTTTCGCAGTGCTGCCGAGGCTGCTCAACTCCTAAGCTCAAGGTTATCTGGCCTGCCTTGGCCTCTGCAAAGTGCTGGGAGCATAGGCTGATGACCCACCACACCCAACAGAGCTTGCTTGGGCAGGGCCCCAGGAAGAACACTGCTAGGCCTGCTGGATTTTCCTCAAAGACAGCTGCTAGCACCATTCCAAGTCTGAAGCCCACCCTGCTCCTCTCAGGGTTCTGTATGCCTGTGACTGTGCCCAGGCCTGCCTGTGCTTCTTCAGGACATAGTGAGAGGGAGGAGGGCAGATCCATCCTGGAATCCCAGCAAGTGCTGTGTTTATTTTCCAAACAATTTTATTGAAATGTGCCAAGAGTACATGGGCAGCACAAATGTATGAACAGGGAAAAAAAAAAAAAAAATCACATGGACAATAATTTTTAAAAGTGAAGGTTAATCTTGGGAGATATCAGTTCCCCTCTCCCTCCCCCTGCAGATTTCCAGCGTTTCCATTAAGATAAGCCTCTATGAACCTAGCATTAAAAAAAAAGAAAGAAAAAAAGAATACAAGATCTTCTGCAAAAAAACAGAAACAAAAAACAAAAAATGGCGTAAAGGAAAGAGAAATGTCTTCCTGCTCAGATAGGACTCTTCCTAGGCACCTAATTAGGAGGCGTGCTGAGCGGTGGAGAAACACAACTTCAGAGTGTAAGGGTATGGACCATCTGCAAAGAAGGAGAGAGAAGTTTGGTTGGCTCCTCTGTCTTTGGAGGTTCCCCAAACCCATTTTCCTTCAATTTTGTACCCATCTCCCATTTTCTGCAGGTCAGTTGCAGGGGTCTAAGGAGTGACTGCCCAACATGCGGCTTCAAGACAAGCCGATGATCAATTATGCACATTTCTCCTTTTCTTCCTTCATTCCAATGGAGAATCCCATTCCTATCTCCTTCTCTAGCCCAAGGCAATGGGCCTCTCCCAGCAACCGGATGGACAAGTTTTATCTGCTGGCTAGTGTTGCCTCTTTCCTAGGTAAGAGAGTGGCTTTCCTATACCTAAGCCAGTCTCTGATGCAAAGGGAGAATGCTGCCTCCCTGGAGGACAAGCCTGAGCAACTCCCAAGCTGGCAGAGTGGGTGGCAGCAGGTAGTCAGGCTGGCTCTCCCATGGGGAGCATAGGCTGCTCTCCTGGTGACCAGGTCCCACCTGCCTATGTCACCAACAGTGAGAAGATCCCCAGGGTCCTATCTCAAGAGCAGGAAAGATATCCTTGGCCTGAAGCCAGCCAACCCATTAGGTCACCAGGGTGATGCCTGCAGGACACACAGATACTCACTTGGGTTTTTCATCTGGTAATGGTTCAGGAAGCCCAGAGTCTCCAGGGCATCGCTCTTGGATTCCCACTCCAGCAGTCCAGAGGAGCTGCGCTCACCTGATTGCAAAGCAAGGAGAAAAGCAAAGGTTTTAGACTGACCCAATATGAACTAGGCAGCTGCCCATCAATCACCAAGGAACTAACTAGGGGAAGGAGGTAGGCACACAACTCACTTTTGCCTGAGAATACTTTCACAGAAGACGGCCGCTTGACTCCGAGCTCATCGCAGATCTGCAAAAAAAACAGATAGTAAATGAACTCTGAAACAAAAAGTCTGCCATACAGGATTCAAGCAGACCAGGCCCTGCAGGACTCAATACTTGGAAGTTTTTGGGAGAAAAGGCTTCT